AGGAGAGGACAGGACAGGAGAGGACAGGAACCTGTGCTGCTGCTGCTGTGTTGCTGCTGCTGCTGCTGCTGCTGCTGCTGCTGCTGCTGCTGTTGCTGTTGCTGCTCAGTCGGAGGATGCGCCTTTCCCTTGACGAGGTTCGGATTGTACATGGGAGGAGCCTGAACAAGTTCGTCAAGATTATCTCTCGCTCCCCGCTCCCTGCTCCTGCTCCTTCCTCCTCCCTCCTCCTCCGATCTTCTTCTCGTCCTCGTCCCTCCTGCCCCTCACCTTAGAAGGGGGGGCAGTCGTATGCCCAGCACCTCCGCTACAAAACAAATCAGCTTGTGGGATCATAAGCATGCAGCGAGTACCTTCCGACCCCCTGACTTGCGATGAGGGGAGGTCCTTGGACCTGTCCCGCCTTCCCTGCGGGAGAGGTTTATACAGGGCACAGGGAGTAAGAAGAGGAGAGAGTAGGGGAACAAGAGCAGGAGGAGCAGAACAAGGAACTTCGCAGATGGCCTGCTGCCCCCATAGAGGCAGGACGAGGGAAGTTAAGACAACACGGACCGGTAGGCGCTACGCCATCCTTAGGAGGAGGAGCGAAGGTCCCCCCTGCTGTCTGAGGAGGAGGAAGAACACCGTTGGGGTTCTGCTAACAGTCAGGAAGCACGCAACGCCCTCTTCGACAGTCTGTGCCTGACCTGAGACTGGCTGCCGCCCCCATGCTGAGCGTTGGGGAATGAGGTTGGAGGCGTCTGCTGCGGGTACTGGTGGCTCTGAACCTGCTGGCCCAACTGCGCTGGAGGAGCTCCCATGACATGTGGTGGTGGTGGAGCCGAGGTGTTGGCTGTAGTGAGAAAGTCAGCAGCTGCTTGAGGGTCCGAGAAGGGCTCACGTCCAGGAGCTTGAGGGATGGGGAGACCTGGCCTGCTGCCTGTAGGAGGAGGAGGAAAGGACGAGGGAGCGGCACCGCCCTGGTTCATTTGCCCAGGAGGCATGCCCTGTGCAGGAGGAAACGGTTGCTGCGTCGGAGGAGCTGAGTTATTCGTGGGAGGAGGAAAACCAACAGGAGGTGTCTGGTATCCTCCCGATGGAGGAGGAGCAGAGGTCTGCGGAGCATTCAAGGACACGTTCTGCATTGAGGCATTGAGCTGATGCATATTGTGCTGCTGCTGCTGCTGTGGAGCAGGAGCAACAGGAGCAGGCATCATCGGTGCGGCTTGATTCGGCTGCTGATACATCTGCTGGTTGGGTGGCATGCCTGTGGTAGGAGGAGGCATGCCTGATGTAGGAGGAGGCATGCCTGATGTAGGAGGAGGCATGCCGGTAGGAGTAGGCATGCCGGTAGGAGTAGGCATGCCGGTAGGAGTAGGCATGCCGGTAGGAGGAGGCATGCCGGTAGGAGGAGGCATGCCTGATGTAGGAGGAGGCATGCCTGTGCTTGGCTGGGCACCTGCGTGACGATCGGAACGCGGCAGGAACGAAACGCAGCAAGGCAGACCTGGATACGCTGCATTCGTAGGCTGGTTGGTGGGGTTGGTGTTGGGGAACATTCCTCCAGGAGGAGGAGGAGGGAACTGACTCATTCACCTGCAGCAAGGGTCTTAGATCTTGTTGGTGCAGAGGCTTCTGCGAGGAATCCCTGTTTGGCTATGTTGTGCAATGGAGCATTGAATGAAACGAAACTACTTTGAGTAAACTTTGAGGTAAACGACATCGGTTGGCTGTGAGCTCCTTTCCCTATTCTCAGCATTCTACGGATCCTCGTGTAATTGTCATGGAATCGAGTTCATGCCACTTTGCATGCTCTACCGCCTCTAGCATCAACGCTTTCATCATTCTCTCTACCAATCCTCCCCAGTACCGGAACATTCCATCAGCAAACCCGTCCTTTACCTTCAGCATTTCGCAATCCTTGCTGTCGTTTTGCTTTCTCTTTGTACACAACAGCAAACTTTGTCTTTCTCGCTCATCTACGCCTCTCTCTCTCGCTCTTCTCCTCCCCTCCTCCTCCCCCTCCTGTCCCCATCGCGCCATGGCCGCGCGTGCCTCAACAGGAGAACGGTCATCCAACAGTCCCGGCCAACCACCTACCCCACCCCTCCATCCCAGTCATTTTGAATCACCCTACCAAGACTTTGACCACCCAGGAGTACCCCAAGGTCACACTCTTGCACCCCACCCCTGGTAATGAAGTACCTTCCCCTGGTCAATCACTACCCTACCCTATTTTTCCCTGTTTCGACTTCAGTAATGTACCCCATCAAAGACCACCACTACGCTGGTAAACGTATCGGGCAGATCTGCCAAGTTTCCTCTACCCTTGACGTGCACCCCACCCCATCTGTGGACACCCTACCCCCCTATTTCTCCGTCATCTTGAAAAAAGAAGGTCGGCTGACAAGGCATTACAATTTCTACCCCTCCCTATCCCTTACGAAAACGTGGGTGGGGTCACACCGGGTAAAGATACTCAGTCGGCCCCCGCTCCGATCGCCCGAGTCCGCCGGGGCCCGGGGCCTGCCGGTGGGTCGGACCGTACGGTACTCTCCGGGCCGCCTCAGCCCGGCCTTTGTGACCGGCCCGCCCGACTCAGACTCGGTCGCGCGCCGGTCCGGCGGCCCGGGCATCGGTGATCACCACAGGCTGAGGCGCCGGCGGGCCCGGCCGGGGGCCGCCGTGGCAAGTTGGACCCGGCTTGGATGATAAGTTGTCCCGGTCCGACGGTCCTAACACCGTACTACGGTAGTCACTGAGTACTACAGGCTCAGTGACTGTGTGATAACTTTTAAGTTAACCGTTAACTTTGAGCACTGCGTGAGTCATGTTGGAGCCTAGCAGCTGTCACAGTCACTGTTGGCAGGCCCTGAGGCGAACCGTTCGTGACAGTGTGACCGTATCGGACCGTCCGACACTCAGCACATTGATCACTGGAGAGCCAGTCTCCCGGAGTCCTCTGATCGGACTGTCTGACTCCCGTGCATTCAATGATCATCGGAAGCGCCGCATCACTGGCTCACTTGTCATCAGCGCTGAACCACGAACTCGGAAGCCTTGAAACGCCGCCGGGGGGCCCGGGGGGGGGAGGGGGGGGGGCGGGGCGCACTGTGCGGTCACCGGACTCGCCGGGAGTCGTCGGGGTCAGCAGCGCGCGCAGGCAGGATAAGGGTTGGTTCTCGCTTTCTTTTCTCTTCTCACCGTTTGGCCTGTGCGACAGTGTCAGGGTCAAGCCTCCTCGACTCTCCTGATTGTCCTCGTACTGATTTTTAACTTAACTTTGAATATGAGTAAAGAGCCAGGAACATACCTACGATCGGACGCAATCAAACTCAGTACGCAGTCATCGCTCTGGTGAATCAGATGGCAACACTGCCCCAAGTTTGCAAGGTGGGCCCCGGCAGTCTGGCAGGCAACTTTCAGTGACAAGTCAGAAGTTGCAAGATCAATCAGCATCGAGCTTCCTCATGCAAAGGGGGTGTTTATTACATTATGCAATGGCAGCTTCCAGACAGTGGTGCAGTTGTGCAGTAACGTGAAGTTGATTAGAGGAAAAGGCACACAAAGTCAAACAACATGTCACAATCTAAGTGAGGAGAGAGGAGATCCTTGTGGATGATGAGCCTGATGGCTATTCCTTATCACAACAAGCTTCTTCTCCTCATCCTGCCAAGAATGGAGGAATCTTCACGTACTACTTGTAAGGCTGTCACGGCCATCAGGCTCGCGGAGTCTACATATCCAGACAAGAGCATGTGGACGAGAATGAGTGAGTAGATCCAATAAATGTACACGTGATGAAACTGCCTTGTGTCACTTTAATACATGACATGATTCATGCTTTGACATTTATTTACAATTACAAGACTAGTCTATACACACGCGTTTTCCCTGCTCCTTCTCGCATACTCATCCATCTTGAATTCTATCAATCAGCTTGCTGTCGCAGCTTCTGCGCCCTGGACTGAGCCTTTGCTCTTGCCGAGAGGACGTTACCAAGCACGTCATTCGAACATTCTGTGTAATCTGTTGCATGCTCGGGACGGAGGGAGAGGCCTTTTCTATCGTTGCGGGCAGAAGTCCATGGTGATACTTGGAGGATCTCGATGGTGATACGAGGAGGAGGAAGAGCGGGAGGGTGAGGAGCGAGCGGCAGGGAGGGCGGGAGCATGTGCATGGGCGAGGTCAGTCCCCTGAGCCGAGAGTTCCGGAATTTATAATTATCACGATGGTACCACCCCTCCCTCAGTGGTCTAAGTAGGGGTAGTCACGTAGTAACCCGGGGATCATTGTTATTGCATCTGCTTCGGGCAGGGGTAGTTCAGCCGGTCAAAGGGAGGGGTACATATTGCCTGTGATACAGTTTACTACTAGAACCGCAGGAGTAAACGCCGCGAGTCGGGGAGTCCGATCGCAACGGAACTTGACTGATACTACTGTACTGATTTTTCACTTAACTTTGAGTAAATGACTGTACTGTAGTACGGTCGTCTATTCAAAGTTGAGTTAAAAATCAGTACTGTACGAGGACAATTCGACTCAGAAGAGTAGAGGCCGGCCTCCGGCCGGCCGGCGGGAGCCTCGGGCCCGGAGGGTTGACCCTGAGTGATCGGCCTGTGCGACAGTGTCAGGGTTGTCCTCGTACTGATTTTTAACTTAACTTTGAGTAAAGAATCGTCAGGGTCAAGCCTCCTCGACTCTCCTGATTGTCCTCGTACTGATTTTTAACTTAACTTTGAGTAAAGAAGCTGATCGCCGGCGGACTGATGAGTCGCACAGCCGGGCCATACCGGCCGGGCGCCGGCGAGATGAGAAACTTTGAACTTCGGAACTTTGAACTTCGGAACTTTGAACATCGCGACGTCATTGAAACTTTCACGTTTGAAGTTTCTCAGTATGTGAGATACCACGATGGCCGCACGTGAAGCCATCGGGGAGAGGAGCTGGAGGAGAGGGGAGGGGAGGGGAGGGGAGAGGAGGAGAGGGGAGGGGAGGGAGGGAGGGAGGAGAGGAGAGGAGGAGGAGGAGGGGAAGGAGGGAGGGAGGAGGGAGGGAGGGAGGAGGGA